ATAGGTATGTTTAGTCATTTATGTTCCCCACAGACTAAGTTTTACCATTACAGATCATCTTTATATCTTATGAGCCTCAAACAGGTTAAATCTAACCATCTAAAGTGAGTAGTATCGATACTCTACTTGCAATATCGATATCCTAGGGTCAATTATCGATATCCCTAAGAGTATTGGTACCAAAAAATGTCTTCTATTGCTGAAAAGAAAGCACAGTATCGATACTGTCACCCAGGGCATCGATAGCGTAGGCGCATTATTGATATTCTCCCTGGCAGTATCGATACTCCCTTCATGGAAACCTTACCTTTTCCCCAATTCAACTAGTATCGATAATGTTTATCAGTACCGTATCGATACTCATACCTATAAATGTTTTATTTTGGCTCAAAAAAGCACTTAAAATCACTCTAAAGGCCATAGTTTGGTTTTAAATTATATGTTAAAATTGTATGAAGTTACTTATGGTCTTAAAGTATCATAAAAACTTTATTTACATCTAAAGGATCACATATGGATGAATCAAGTTTGAACCCTAAAATACTAAACTACACAAATATTAACAATTCATTATATTTACTAAAATCTTAACACTCCAAAAGATTAGAAATATGCTACCTTGATGTTTAAATACTGAAATGGAACTCCTTGCTTAGCCACACTCCTTCCCTTTATGATTTGGATGAAATCCCCTTTTCTTTAGCTAGAAAGAATCCCAAAACATAAACCATTAAAACGATATTATAGTGGTGAATTTTGGACAGAAATGAAGCTTCAAATATACCCAAGAACTTACATTTGAGCTATGACCACTAAGAAAAGTTGAAAGAGGAGGAAATGGAAAGGATGAAATGAAGAGAAAATGGATAAAATGGGATATAAAAACCCACATCTTTATAAAAAGGTGAAATTACTCATTTGAACCTTCCTCATCTTTCTACAATTAAAAAACCCTCTTTTTTATGGCTATTTGGGACCCAAACCTACCAAATTAGGCCCAATATGGCCCGAAGACTAAAATTATAAATTCCATGAGGCCCACTTACCTCTCAGGAAAAAACCCAAAACTTCTAACCGTGAATTTGGGGTGTTACAGGAAGATTTCCAGTTCTCCCTAATTATACACTCAAAATTAGTATGGGAAAGCTATCTAGATAAATATTTAAAGTGTCGGGTGGAGGAGCGATTATAAAGGTTACCAACATTCAAGAGGATCAATCTAAGACCAGAGCGCATGTGAATGAGGTGGAGGACCACAACTTCAGGAAAGGACTCATCCTAGTGGGAGTTACAGATAAATCTATCAAGTCTGACAAATGTTGAGCCACGAGACCACATGAATTCAGGATCTTGGAAACGCATATCGCTAAGTTCATGGTTGAAAAATAAATTTTGAAAATCAAGACTACGTTTGGAGGAAAATGCGTTGGTGGTGATGGCACACCCATAAGGAGCCAGGGGCCTGAATAGAGGAAGCAAGATCATGTAGATGAGGCCATAGATATTTTTGTTTCGAGGGGATAGGGCTAGTTAAATTAACATAGCTAAAGAGGAACTACCATCAGAGACTAAAGTATAGAGAAATGGATAAATTGAAAATGGTTAAAAAGAACTTTGAGATGTACCAAATGATACCAATAGAGCCAAATGCCACAAGAGAATCTAAAGCCTTCTGCGTGGTGGGAGTAACGGAAGCCAAGAGCAGAGATGGCACATCAGCACGAGCGCCACTAATTCTCTGTCAAACCAATGATGTCAAGTTCATGGTCTCGAAGGTATTGATTAGTGGTTTTGATAAATTTAGAGTCCTCACAGCCCTATACGTTCCAACAAAAGAACTTAATCATTATTAAAACAAAAAAGAGAGATAAAAAGATATCAAAATTATTCGATCATTTAAATAGGGGATAATTCTTCATCATTAACATGTGGGGCTTATTCGGTAGCATGAACAACTTGGTCATGATATTCTTAGAGCATAGAAATGTCACCCGAGACAGTCACAAGATCAGAGGGTTGGTCAGGAGATTGATGATGGAAGGGGTTGTTATCACTTGGCAGAGAGTGAAGTGATGATGGGGTGGGGTGGGGTCTAAGACATGGAGGGTTGGTATTCTTGGCCAAGGTGATCCCAGTGTCTTTGGTTTTGTTAAGGGGTGGTCCGGTTCGGGAGGACTTGAGAGCAGTAAGGCTAGGCTTACTTAAGGAGGGATTGGCTCTCAGGGTCGGCCTGATGTTTTTACTGATAGTGAGGGGTTTTTGAACATGAACAATGTTTTTTTTTTTTGGTGCATGGGTAGCAGCAAGGGAATTAATTGTGGTTGAGACATGGGTTTAGGACGAGATGAGGCATGGGTAATCGGAAGAGCATGAGGGCATTCTATGTCGTCTTCCTCGGCATAGTTAAATATGGGATTATACCTGGAGCCGGAGATCGGCACATGGCTTTGTACGGGAGTAATGGTAGTATCATGTTTTGGTGGTTACCTCAGATGATGCTTGACGAGCATCCAGGGATCAAACATGCAGGAGTCCGATGCAAGGGCGGGAAAAGCTCTTGAGGGCCTGAAGTTTCTTGAAGAGAACTTGCAAGGAGTGGGGAAAAGGTCTTGAACATGGTCGTACTGTTCACATATGAAGCAAATAGTCGGGAAGGACTCGTACTGGACGATTTGGACCCTGACATAATCAAAATTTTAGATGTTAAGGGCTCGTTATGGTCAACAGCGATTGCCATCCTAGCAAATCCACCACGGCGATTGTATTCAATTGGGTAATCGATTTTCACAACTTTTTGGATGTGTTACCTATTTCATGGATTAGGCTTCAATTGTATTGGGTGATCAATAGTCCTGACAATCTGATCCAGGCGGTGACTCTGTTAGGGGTTAGATTGAGATGGGGTGAAATTGATCATCTAGGGTTCTACAGTCAAGTAGTGGCAAAAAATAATTCAAGGGCCATCGGCATGGCCTTGGGATAATCAAATTGAGAAGAGAATGAAACCAGAAAATGGTCGTTCTCGATGTCTATGATTTTTATGAGATAAGTGGGCTTCAAGAGATCTTGGATGCGGTTGCGTAGGGCTGTGTATTCAATTTTATGGCCAAATATTTTGACAATTACAATCTGTTAAAGACTTTTAATGGTTAGAGATTGAATTCTATCATAAAATTCAAATCATTCCTTCGACAGTGATTCTGGTGACATCCTCTTTAAGTAACTCGAAATCCTGTTCAACTAGGAGTTGGTGTTCAGCATCATTTGAGGGAGAAGAACCTCTGATGAGGGTATAGTTGTATGAGGGAGCGGTTGTATCATATGGGCACGGGCATAAAATTGGTTGCCATTATTATCCGAAACATCCATGTTAGTGTCTATGGGAGCAGGAAGTGAAACAAAGGTGGGAGACGCGAGGGTAGTAGGCTGGTCTGTGGAGGGGGGATGATAATCTGGCGGTTTAGCATCTAACCGACGGACTTTCTTGGTTCGTCTATCATCAATAATGGAGTGGAGCATTAGGGTTATATTTTAATTCTACTAGTGATGTTTGACCGATTTTATATTTTTACGATTTTTAGTCTTGTAAATTTTTAATGTTGATTTAAAAAATATTCTTCTATAAGGTATATTTTAAAATTTATTTTTATTATTTTTAGGACAAATTACATGTATAGTCACTAAACTATATAATAACTTTTATTTTGAATGTTGAATTAAAATATTTTCAATCAAATCACTTATCTATTTAAATTATATTAATTAAACCACCGATAGCTAACTTTTAACAAAGATATTGATGTGACAATTAAATAAATTAATATAATTATATATTTGATAATATTACTTATTCATTCTATTAATTAGAATTTAATTCAAATTAAAATTAATTTGAAAATCGTCTAATAAGATATTAATCCATGTCATAATCTTAAAAAATGTTTTTCAAATTAAAATGTATTTTAATATATATTGTTTAATTTTTTTAATTGTTTATAAATTCAACTCACCAGCTGTTTGGAGAATGTGTTTGAAAAATAATAATTTTTAGGTTGAATTATTTATTTCTTTAACTAATAATTTATTTTAAATTCCACCCACGTGCTTGTTAAGAGATTATGACACATGCTAATGTCTTAATATATAATTATTAAATTAGAATTAAGACCAATTTAATAAAATTTGTAAGAATCAAATGTGTAACTATACATTTATTTAACTCCCACGCCAATATCAGTGGCATAATTTATACCATTTAAAAATTTAAATGACTTGATCAAACGCTAATTTTGTTTAGTAGTCAAAATAGAACTTACCTTATATATCAGTGACTATACATGTAGTTTACCATTATTTCTTAATATCAACTGTGCTTTAGTCGCCAAAACTTCATTTAAAAAAGAATAGACATATTACCCTATATGGTTAATTTAGTTTTTCAGCTATAACTATAAAAAAAAAAACTTTCAACAATACTACATTAATTTGGCTTGTACTCAAGGATGTGTCCAAGTAGTTTCATCAAAAAGTTCAATACGATGTATTTGTCTCAACCCCTGTATCCATAGATGGATCAAGAGGCATGTGGAACAATGGTCTTTTAAATATTATAAAATTTTATGTATTTTAAATTTTTTATATTTTTCTTAAAATGGTTGTCTCTTGTTCCCATATGTAATGGGGTAAGATAGTAGGCTGCCCCCAACACTAGGTTGAGAGCAGCTTCCGTAGGAGACGTCTAAATTATGAAATACCCTCCATGGGACTCAATTCCACGACCTCAAGGTTAAGAACCTTGTGCTCTACCAACTGAGCTGGATGGTCATTTCATTTTTACTTTTCTTAAAATTATATAAATTCTCATATTCTTAAAATTTTATAAATTCATCCCCTAACGTAAAATCATAAATCTAGTCCGTCGTTGTCGGTTACCCTCAACCAACAATTAAAAAAAGTTGGGACGAAATTGATGAATACCAAGAGATTTATTCCCTAATTCTTTATCGTGCAGCCATCAGTTGATTGTTAAGCATCATATCAAAGTGCCAAGCACCTGCAAAATCATGAATATTCAATGAAAAAATCAACTCTCTGCAAAACAAAATGCAAATCAGTAAATGAAAGGTCTCAAATAATAATACAAGTAAAATAACCATGTCCGTTGCCCACTCTACTCAACTGAGCTACATATTCTGGGAGCTTTCTAATGGATTCAACTTACATGAAGCAGATAGAAATGGGGTGAATGTGAGACTAAGTGCAAATGTAATGAAAAAAAACAACGCAGCAGTAGGGTTGCGCTCAACTCGAAAGCTCGCGAAGCTTAAAACTGTCCAGCTCTACTCGAACTCAAAATAAAAATTGAAGCTCAGCTAAAAATTTCAAACTTGAGTCCGGTATCAAATTCTTCATTTCGACTCATTCAAAACTCGAGTCAGGTTAGAACTTGAGTCAATCTATTCAATTAGAGTGTTGGCCAAACTTTAACCAAGTAGAACTTGCATAGTTCGCAATCTGTTAGCTCTCATTTACGGCACTACGCAAAAGAAGTGAAATAAAACCTACTTCACCTGCTCAGTCAAAAATTCAGTTTCAATAAAGTCCGCCTGATGCATGTCGTGTGCTTCATTAGCCATCTGTAGAATATGTAATTTATACATATGGATTATTTGATCAATTAAATTTTATTTTAATAGAGAAAGAGAGATGCCTACTTTGTGTAAATTAAGAAACTTCTCATTGTTCAGCTTTTCCAGGGACAAAGCAAGTTCCATTGCTGAAACAAAAATCATAAGACCATTAACAAACACTTGAGAATTCTGAGCCTTGGAAATTATCTTAGTCTTATGTGTTCAAAAAGTCCAACAATAAAGTGCATCGCCCTTCTCAGGATGACCATATTCTGCTATGGGCACCAGCATGGACTGCAGCACAGCCTTTCCTCCTCTTTTGTTCTAATTATCACAAGATACAGGGAAGGAGTAAAATAGTAGTAATAATAATAAGGGTAAAGTATACAAATGGTCCCGATTATAGCTTATTACATCGTTAAGTCTACCGATTATTAAAATTTACAAAATTGTCCCCGAGGGCCTACTGAGATGGATGTTAACATGACGATTGAAATATGAAAAAAAATATATTTTATCATATTTTATAATATTTTATTTTATAGGTTAATGTCAACAAATTTTTAATGAAAAATATTGGGTGATTATTTTTAAACTTTTAATAGTCGAGAGACTTAACAAAGCAATGCTTATAAGCAGGATCATCTTATAACTTTTAATAGTAGATAGACTCAACAATGCAACTTCCTATAATCGGAGGAGTACTAATAATAATTCGAGAGAAAAGTTTTGAAATTAAAAGAGTACGATGCATGCAGCCATGTTTATTCACCTGGTAATCCATAAACATCTCAGCATGCTGCCTTTCTTCAACACGTGAATTCTTAAAAAATATGCAAAATCAGTCATCACTCAAGTGAACCATTAAGATTAAAAAAAGAATGTAATAACCTAACTAACAAAATTATGGATTGGGTCTACAAGACGTTACTTGGCAAAGCCCTTGAGAGCAATATTGTCTCTGTCAAAATAGGCGAACATGGAATGATACACATAGGACACATTGTACTCCACACTGATTCACCAAAAATGATCATAATCTCAGTAAATTCTATATCGTTAATAAAACAACAATTAGAACACATAATGGTCAATATTCAATTCTAAGGAAAATAAGATCCAAAGTGATTCTTAAAACAATCTATGGGCATTCATGCAATGGAAACACCATAAGAGAAACAAAGGATTGAAATAAGTAAAAAAAAGAAGAAGAGACTGAACCTTGGATCGAATGGTCTGTATGGGGACCTCTTTATCCATGCAACCGTGATGTAGCTTAACAAAGAACACGCTGTCATGTGATATATGTTAAGAAGATTGAGTATTTGAAACCATTTTTGCTGAGTAGATATTTGTTCAACAATATGATCCCAATGTAAATGCCTGATGAACGAAGCAATTATGTATAGTCAGCTCTACTGTTACTGCTTCATCATTTTCATTCTTCATACCTTTCTGTCTCATTGGAAATTTTTGCTCAAAGCAATGATCTTTAGCACATAATGATATGGGCCTTCAGCATGCCCCAACATTTACTGATATGAACGGTCAAAATGTTATTCCAATTTCTGATTTAAATGGGCTTTCAACATGCCCCAGCATTTGCTAATTGTTGATGTGAGCTTTCAAAATGCCCAAAATATTCATATTGGTGTGGGCCCTCAGAATGCCTCACATGAATCATTTATGTCTGAAATGGGCTTTCAAGATGTCTCGCATGGATCTGGAGGGATATAGTCGGACAGAGTGGTATAATTCGCTTGGTAATTCATTCCAAGCTGACACAGTGAACCTTGTTTTCAGTGAAGGCTATATCTGGAATATACTTTTCTGTGGGACAGAAACCAATTTATGTGAACAGTAATCTGATGCAATAGCAAGACTACATATACAGTGGTACAGGCTCTTGAAAAATCCGCACCCATGCAACATGTTGATTCTGATAACGACTCATCTGATTATGAAGCGATCTTTCAAGATGATTTCACAGATATTGATAGTTTTTCTGATACCGAGAAAATCCTAAATTCTGATTCTGATGAGGAGAATAAATTGTTATACTTGACGAAAATGTGGTACTCAGGCTGAGGCTTCAATAGCTATGGAGACATGTGGTCTGGATTCATCAATTGCAGAGTTGACAGATTTTATATGTGCTGCTCAAATGGCTAAGGCTGCTGACACACTTCTTTCGGTAGAATATAGGAAGCCATTATGCAATGACCCCAATTACACGAAAAGGAAAAAATCGAGCCATGATTTTTGGAAAAGGAAGAAGCAGAGGAAGTTTGAAAAGAAGCTTCTTAATGAAGACAATCATGCAGTTCATCTTCTAAATCCAATGATTGGCTTTGGGGTTCCTACTGAATCATATCAGATAACTCAAAGAACACTTCCAAAAGATGCTATTGGGCCTCCTTATTTCTATTATGAGAATGTGACACTTGCTCCAGTTGGTGTTTGGACTGAAATGTCACGGTACTTATACGATGTAGTGCCAAAATTTGTAGATTCGAAGTATCTTTGTGTTGTTGCATGGAAAAGGGGCTATATTCATAATCTGGCAATTGAGAACAGATTTCCTCTTATTTCGCTTCCTCCATGAACCATACATGATGTTTTTCCATTGACAAAAACTAGTGACATTCCTTTGAGTGTCTAGAAGTATGTTCTTGATGAGTGCTAAAATGAAATCTGGTATGGGTTGGAAGGAATAAAGTTGTTCCATTTGAATCTAATGAGATGGAAATGCTTCTAGGTTTCCCTAAAAACCATATACGAGGAGCTTCTAGAGACATGTTCCCCGGTGGTATTAATGTCTTGTCTCTTTTCTCTAGGATCAGTGATGCAGAGGTTGCCTTCTAATGTCTTGGCATACCTTTGAAAGCAGATGTGCAAGAACTGAATGATGATCGGTTGGAGCAATAAATTAGACTTTGTTGTTGGTGGCATTCAGTGTAACAACCTTACCGGAAGAAATAAACATCATCAAGATGAACTAGAAGATTTTTGTTGGTGCATTTTCTTGCAATGGTTGCTATAGTAACTATCTATTCTGCTGCTTCAAGATATATCACACTCTTCCCAAACCATGGAAAGGTTTAGTTGATAATAAAACTGATTATCTTTACTTTGGGAATCTTGTAACCAATGTTACCCAATATGAAATGCATACAAGTGTAGAATTTGTTCCGATGTCAAATTTAAGTTCAACAATCTTCTGAAGGACATAAGGGATATAATCCTAACAAAGAAAATGATCGTCATGGAAGAGGTAGAATTGATGTATCAAGACTTGAGCCAGCATCACGGTATAACCAAAGTGCAGGTGGTGGACTTGTTCATTCACATAATACCCCTTAATGGGATTTATAAGCTCTGTGATGTAATCTTTTAGAGAACATGGATTGATGGCTGGGGAAAATAATTTGTCTGGTGATGCTTATCGCCCTCAGCATGAGATAAATAATAAATTTCATGATGAATTGGTAATAATGTCATAGGAGAGCTTCACAAGTTCAATTCTTCAAACTTTTTGGATTCTTATACCACTTGTTATCAAACAAGTTTCATCATTCTGGCTTCGCTCATTCTTTTTCTCCAATAGAGGTAGAATAGGCAACAATCTGCTTCAAGGACCTTCCTCATTTGAGATTGTCCTGTTTGAAAATGTTTTTTTCTCATTTATTTATTGAAGAATGATAGAAATTTGTAAAGTATTGCACTTTACAGGTTCACAATAGAATTAAATCATAAAACATGAAATTAATGAATATCAAATAAATCAACTACTCTTTTAAATTTAAAAATCGTAGTCATATGGCAAATGTCAAAATTATTGACTGGTTTAAGGTGTAGGTTGATTCTGGTAAAGTAAGGTATTTCAGGTTGTTCCAGCATATATGTCATTTTTAGCTTCCATTATCTTGAAGGAATGTTGTTATGCTCATCTTATAAAGATACTTCTTGGTTCCAGAATCTCAGGAACATCTTTGGGATGTGAGGTGCTTCATCAAGAGCTTAAGATTGTCTCTTTTGTCGTTGTTGCACTATTCGATATTCGAGCCGCCTTTTCAGGTTTTCAACTCGAATCCTCCTTTAGTTTCAAGATGTTATTTAAAAATTTACATGTTGAACCCTCTTTTTATCATTTTTCATATCATCCATTAAAGATTTAAAAAAACAATTTTTGCAAATAAAAATCAATCCTGAGAAGTGGAATGAAATCTGAAGATAATCTCTTTTACATAAAAATCCATGTATGATTAGAATGGACTTTTCAGGTACGTAACGTAAGCCAAGGCTCAGGGTTATGAAAGAAAAGGATAAAAAGGCCCAAACAAGTGTTTAAGGGTGATTGAACCAAGGATCAATTCATTTTGATGCCTTCAATCTTGCTTTGCTTGACTTGGATCTGCTTTGCTGGGGATTTTCCATAAGATTCCTTCATCTCCAGTATTTCTTGTTGAATATGAATCTTTGAACTTATTGCACTTGATCAACCTTGTAACTTGAGGCTTAATGAGTCACCCATCTTGATTCAATTTTTCCTTTTTTTTTCTTTTTTTCTGATGAATGAGTATATGGCTCCAATTGCTTTGAGAACCTCCTTCTCCTCTTGCATTTTAGAAATTATTTCGTTATTCTTGACTGGATTGATCTTCAAGTACTTTGTATTTGACCTACCTTGTAGTTCAAAACTCTCTTCATTTCATGAAGATTTGCCTTCGTAATTGACAATCTTTATTACTGTGAGAAGATATCCTTCTTCTTGCCCCCCAATGTGGAGGGTGATCCTTGGTTAAGGTTGAATCAAAAAAAATATTATAGGCGCAAAAGGGGACAACAAGGGATATATATATTCATATATTTGAAAGGATAAATGAAACAATGACGTTTATTTAGCTTGCATCTATCATTCCTCGAATGTTGGGTGTGTACTTGGCCCAAGATTTTCATCTTTATTTGCCCCCCATTTCTTGATCATTTCTTGTGTCAATACTCCCTTGTCAACGAGCGTCTCTATTTCTTTTAACAGTGACTAACAATTCCCTATTGAATGTCCAGATATCCCCAAGTGAAAATTACAGAAACTATTTTGATCATAGAAATGGGCATAAGGGTTTAGTGACACTTTCACTGATCTTGGTGTAATGTATTTGCCTTTAACCAAATGAGAGTATAGACCTGAGATAGATTCTTGAAATACCTTCAAAGTTTTTCTCGCTCGAGAGATTATCATTTTCTTTGATCGTTCTAAATGACTAAATGCTCTCCTGTGATCGAGGGGGTTCTGGATGTTCATTTCAGCTACAACTGGGGTAGTATCAACCAGACTCCTTAGGTTGCCCCTTGCCTTACTGGTTTTCGAAAAATCTGATATAGGTATCTGAGGTGTTTTCTGAGTTATATCTGCCCTATTCTTTCTTAGACCTATGGGCCAATCTCGAATTACATCCATGTGAGCCTTTTGATTTCTTTTCCCATTTTCTTGCGCCTGATATTCTTTGTAGGATTTGGTCATATTAGTCTCTGCCGAGATAATGATTTCTGAGCATTTTACCTTAACCCTTTCTTTTACCTTGCATTTTTGAATTGCTTTTTCTATAGGATCTTGGAAATTTCCCTCAAGGTTACCAGGAACCTTAGCTGAACAATTTGGAATTCCAGTTTGGTTTATCCAAGGAACCTCCTTATAGGTCCAATTCCCATTTGGAAGCCACTGTGGTTGAACAAGTCGTGGAGTAGTTAATATGGTTGAGAGCATTTTTGGGTGCAATTTTTCATTCGAACAGTAGAAGGGAAGAAATTGAAAACCCTGAACATTATTTTTCTTCTTGATCACTCTATAAGGTTTGTCACCACATTTAACTGAACAAGACCTCACTGTATTAATCTCAGCTTTTTCTCGACGTCAGTATTGTCAGAGCCTCTTATCTTGAGATTCTTGATAGCCATTTTGATTATTTCTCCACTTATGATGATGTCAGAGAAATTATTAGGGACAACCCCTAT